CGCTGTCTTCCCGGCTTCTGTAGTGTGGGCGCTCGTCTGACAGCCGGATGCCCAGTGCGCATGCGCGAGAAGCGCTGCGCTTTGTGATTGGTCCGGCGGCTTCTGGGATCTGTCATGTGTCCCAGGTACCGCCTTACCATTCACAAAGAGCACTGCTTCTTGCGCATGCGCACTTGGGACCCAGCTGTCACGCACACTACAGAAGCCGGGAAGACAGCGCGCCGCTGGATAGAGGGACAGGTACGGTCCCACTGCAGAGCTGAGCGGCCGGCCCGGTATTCTGACACGGCGGCGGTGGAAATACCGGACCGGCCGCTCTAATATTCGCTCCATAAGACGCACTGACATTTTCCCCCCTTTTTTGGGGGAAAAAAAGTGCGTCTTATGGAGCGAAAAATACGGTATTCTCCTGGCGTGCCCACAGATAAGGCTCGGCGTGCCGGCTGTGGCACGCGTGCCACGGGTTCGCCATCACTGGTCTAGACTAAAAGAGTAGCTAAACAGAATTACACAGGTAAATTGGCAGATAACACATATTTACAGGTGAAACTCAAAAAATTAGAATATCGTGCAAAAGTTCATTTATTTCAGTAATGCAACTTAAAAGGTGAAACTAATATATGAGATAGACTCATTACATGCAAAGCAAGATAGTTCAATCCATGATTTGTCATAATTGTGATGATTATGGCTTACAGCTCATGAAAAACCCAAATCCACAATCTCAGAAAATGAGAATATTGTGAAAAGGTGCAATATTCTAGGCTCAAAGTGTCCCACTCTAAACAGCTAATTAAGCCATAACACCTGCAAAGGGTTCCTGAGCCTTTAAATGGTCTCTCAGTCTGGTTCAGTAGGAATCACAATCATGGGAAAGACTGCTGACCTGACAGTTGTGCAGAAAACCATCATTGACACCCTCCATTATTATTATTATTATTACTACGAGTTTATATAGCGCCAAAGGGTTTGCTCAGCGCTGTACAATAGGGGGGACAATACATGGCACAGTACAACAACAACAAACAACGTACGAGGGGTAAGAGGGCCCTACTCTTTCGAGCTTACAATCTAGGACGGAGGGGGTAAAGGTACAGTAGGAAGTGGCTGAGGGGGATGAAGTGGTGGGAGGAATGAGGGAGGATGGCCATAAGGAGGGAAAGCCTCAAAAGGTAATTGCAAAAGAAGTTGAATGTTCCCAAAGTGCTGTATCAAAGCACATTAATAGAAAGTTATGTGGAAGGGAAAAGTGTGGAAGAAAAAGGTGCAAAAGCAGCAGGGATGACCGCAGCCTGGAGAGGATTGTCAGGAAAAGGCCACTCAAAAGTGTTGGGGACTTTCACAAGGAGTGGACTGAGGTTGGAGTCAGTGCATCAAGAGCCACCACACACAGACGGATCCTGGACATGGGTTTCAAATGTCGTATTCCTCTTGTCAAGCCACTCCTGAACAACAAACGTCAGAAGCGTCTTACCTGGGCTAAAGAAAAGCAGACCTGGTCTGTTGCCCAGTGGTCCAAAGTCCTCTTTTCTGATGAGAGCAACTTTTGCATCTCATTTGGAAACCAAGGACCCAGAGTATGGAGGAAGAATGGAGAGCATAGATATAGTGCATAGATACACTATATTGCCAAAAGAATTGGGACAACCCTCCAAATCATTGGATTCAGATGTTCCAATCACCTTCATGGCCACAGGTGTATAAAATCAAGCTCCATACAGACTGCTTCTACAAACATATGTGAAAGAATGGGTCACTCTCAGGAGCTCAGTGAATTCAAGTGTGGTACCGTGATAGGTGCAATAAGTCCATCTGTGAAATTTCCTTGCTACTAAATATTCCACGGTCAGCTGTTAGTGATATTATAACAAAGTGGAAGCAACTGGGAACAAAAGCAACTCAGCCACAAAGTGGTATGCCACGTAAAATGACAGAGTGGGGTCAGCACATGCTGAAATTCACAGTACGCAGAAGTCCCCAACTGTCTGCAGAGTCAATATCTAAAGGCTTCCAAACTTCATGTGGCCTTAAGATTAGCACAACAAGAGTGTGTGGAAAGCTTCATGGAATGGGTTTCCATGGCTAAGTAGCTGTATCTGAGCCTTATACCACCAAGTGCAATGCGAAGAGTCGGATGCAGTGATGTAAAGCACGCTGCCACTGGACTCTAGAGCAGTGGAGATGTGTTCTCTGGAGTGATGAATCATGCTTCTCAGTCTGGTAATCTGATGAACGTGTCTGGGTTTGTTGGTTGTCGGGAGAACAGTACTTGCCTGACTGCATTGTGCCAAGTATAAAGTTTGGTGGAGGGGGGATTATAGTGTGAGGTTGTTTTTCAGGGGTTGGGCTTGGCCCCCTAGTTCCAGTGAAGGGAACTCTTAAGGAGTCAGCATACAAAGACATTTTGGACAATTTCATGTTCCTCATGTGGGAACAGTTTTGGGATGGCCCCTTCCTGTTCCAACATGATTACACACCAGTGCACAAAGCAAGGCACATAAGGTAGGCTCATTAAAATATATGACCACAAAAACACAGCTTACCAGCATAAAGTCGATTTGTTACATAATTACCTGGCACTCCTGCAAAAATACATTGTGCCAACACCGATTGGCATTTCAGGAGTGTGATAGATTGGAGTTTTACCCCAGCTCACTTAATGACTCAATTGGGCTAGGTTTGGGTAGACATCTGCGTGACATGTCAGCATTAGAACCAAGGAGTAGAGTTTAGGAAACATATGCTGTGAGGAAGATAAGCGATTTATAAATTGATTCCTTATGTGCACATCATTTGTTTCCTCATTCTCTGAAAGAGCTGGAAAGAAGAATGTGGAAGGGACAGCAAACAAAACTCATTTTCTAGTTAAAAAAAAAATAAAACTATATATATAAATATATTTATATATAGATTATAGCTCTGCCCCTCCTCTGACTTCTCCAAGACCACCCATAACTAGCCCGTAAATTCAGCATAGATCCACAATCTTGTCTCAGTCACACCTTAGAAACATAGAAGAGTGACTTCAGAAAAAAGACTAAGCGGCCCATTGAGTCTGTCCCTTTATTATTATTATTATACAGGATTTATATAGCGCCAACGGTTTGCTCAGAGCTGTACATTATAATGGGAGACAGTACATGAGACAGTACAGTAACAATACAATACACGAGGGGTTCGAGGGCCCTGCTCCTTGGAGCTTACAATTTATTACTTTAAACATTTTTTTTTTTAATTGTTGTTAACTGTTTTGACAAAGTATAAATCTATGTTTTATCCCAAGCATGTCTGAATCCATTTATTGTTGACTGACTGACTACTTCTGCTGGAAGTCTATTCCAAGCATCAACTACCCTATCCTAGGAAGACTGAGATAGTGATTGTTCACGTCTTTGACCTGCAAAATCTTATCCCACTTCAGGTAGCTCATCAATGCACAGAAGAGTAATTTCCATCCAATTCGGGAACTGGAGTACCTAGGAGTTTTGCTCAACATATTTTTTTTTTTTTTTATATACACGTTTTTGGAGTCGTGATTGAGTGAAGAAATTTGGATTCATTGCCACATGAAGGATTCACTCCTGTAAAAACGCATTTGACCTATTATAATTTGCAGGTCAAACAAAGGTGAGCAGGGAGAGTATTGTGAGCACAAGCCAGTCCTTTGGAAAGTGATTGTTAAACGCACTAATTTGGACATTTTTGATTTGGAAGTTGGACTTTTTATTTAGTGTGTATTTATCTTGCATGGAATATTGGAGGATTATTTTATTTAATTCATATTACTGGATGAGGAGTTAGCGCACTACACATTCCTGGTTTATATAAGTTTTAACATTTAGTGAGTGGGTGTAGCAGCGCATGATCTACAAAATGCTTTTCACAGAAGATGTGAGCAAGCTGGAAAATTTATAATGTTTGAGTAAATAATTTTTTTTACATTTTTTGGGACATTGGACTCTAATTTGGGACTTTCACATATAATATGTCACAGTTTTGATTATTTGTATTATTTGCGCTGTATTATTTTTATTAATATCATGTGGAGTCACTCTGCACAAGCTCAGTTTGGTGTGTATTGCTAGAGAGGTTTTTTTTTTTACCTTGGGAGAGTGCCTGTAATCAGCACAGGGCCAATCAGCACTGTCCAGACAGAGGGTCAAGGGTCTGCCATCTAATAGGACAGTGAGAGGAGAATGAAAACTCCTCCTACAAGCTTTATCCAGTGCTCTGCTGGATAATGATAGAAGTCACAAGACTGCTCTAATTGCTGATGGGAAAAGGCATTTAGCAGTTTATATTTACTAAAATAATTGTACTTCCATGTTCTGTGTACTGTAGGAGACCAGATCTAGTGAGTGCAGGGTCCTGGGTTTAGTAACACTTTAAGTACTTAATATGTTGCTTCTTGCGACAGAACAATCTTACAAATGATTTTCCCCTTTAAGTTGCAAATCTCTCATCTTAAACATTTAGGGGTATGTTTAATCATTTATATGACTTTATTTAAAACCTCTCCTTGTCCACATACATGTGTTTTAAAATTAGAGTTGAGGTTCTCTCTTCGTCACACCTGATTTGGTAGAGTGGAGTTATGAAAAATTTATATTTTGCCATTATGTTTATATTTTTCCCTTTATTTTGTTCTCCTCCAATACTTCCCTCTTCTCATGTCCCCTGATTACCCAACTTACCTTCCCTGTGACTGTTTCCTTTCTACTTTTGATATTTTCTTCCTCCCTCTCTGTCCCTTGCCCTGGCAGCTACTGTACGTTAGTGAACAACAAAGACTCAGTCTCTGGCTTCCACTAGTATAACTTTCTTTCATACATAAGAATATGTCGGAGGTCACCATCTATGCCAAATATCTGCATTTTTCTCGGCAACCAGACACTTGATTTTGTGCATTAGAGCTTATGATTAATTGTTGTTGGTTTATATTATGTACCTCTGCTGTACCTATTTTCCTCAATATACAAATACACACAGCATATAACTACCTGCTCCTTTAACTCCTTCATCCTCTCTGCCTTCTTTAGCTTTGTTGCATATTCTTGGACTTCCTTTAACCCAATATCAGTGCAGAGCCGGACTAGGAAGCGCAAACCTGTTCAAAAAACCAAACACAAAAAATATGAACTAGAAATACTAATATCCACAACAGACTTATTTCTTTTGTTTACAAACAATTTTATTAGTTTTTATGAAATATGCTGCAAAGACAACATTACAGAATCAAGTAACATATAAAACAGAAACAAGGCACATCTGTAATAAACATTCCAAAAAGGTACAATCATGTAAAGCATACAAATTAAGTGTCTGAGCAAGATAGACAAAAAGGTAGGTAGAACAATAATGGCACCAACAGAAAAACACGATCAATTGAATCATAAATATTCATTATTCAGATAGTAAATGTCTATGAATTTTCCAAACCTCCCACTTTCTGTTGAATAACTGCATCCTATCCAGTAACATATAATGAATTCTCTCCATGAGCATCACTGCATCGACTCTCGGGGCAATGGCACCATGGGCGACCTCCAGTGCAGGGCAACGGCCCACAGGACAGAAACACAAACGGTATGGATTAGCCTCATAGTCACCGTTCGTATTCCCATGATGTGAGCTCCCAACAGGCAAGACTGCATAGACAGATGCACAGGTGCATCTGCCACAGCAGAGGCCACTTCAGAGACTTTGCGCCATTCTAACAAAAGGTTTGGGCAAGCCCAAAATGTGTGCACCAAAGTACCAGCTAGGCCACAACCTCGGAAACACAAAAGTGAGACATCCCCGGAAACACGACACTCAGCCTAGAAGGAGTGTAATACCAGCGGGTTAGTACTTTGAGGGCCGCCTCCCAAACAAAAAGAGAAATAGTGCTCTTACGTATACTATCCACCATGGGGTCCCAATCCTCTCCAGAAAAAGTGACACCACTTTCTGTCTATATAAGGGGGGGGTGAGGAATAGATAGTTACCGAAAAAAAAAAAGATAAAAATCCAAAATAAGACCCCTGCCCCTAGGAGAGTCACGGCTAGTACGTTCGAAAAAGTAATCGGGGACGAAGGTGTCAAATCAAAATGTGTATGAAGAAAAATGTCTAATTTGCCTATAACAATAGTATTCCCGGAGCGGGATATCAAAAAGTGTGCATAGCATCTCAAAAGTGATATAAGACCCTCCTCTTTGAAAATCAGATAATCTGATAAAGGAATGATCATACCACCAACGAAACGCCTGTGGAGACAAGAATGCTATAAAGAATCTCGGGTCTCCAAAAAATGATGAACCCGATGGGACAGAAGATACAAGATTTAATTTAAATTTATAACGGAACAAAAGCATCAATGAGTGGGCAACAATAGAATTATGGAACATCAACATGCGAGGGGGAATTTTTGTCCATAAAATACCCGGTAAATAGAACAGACGTATAGATTGAGATTCAAATCTGGTCCAAGGGATTTGGAAGTTAATAGTAGCCCATTGCGATAGTTGTGCGAAGCGGGCCGACAGGTAATAGAGCCAGAAATTGGGAAGACCAAGGCCTCCCATCCTTTGTGATTGGTAGAGGATTAATGAAGTGAAACGAGGATGTTTGTTACACCAAATAAAATTATTAATCACACGCTGAAAACGATCTAGAACAGTTTTCGAGACCGAGATTGGGAGTGGTCGAAACAAGTACAATAATTTCGGCAAAACATTCATCTTCACTGCCGTGACTCTGCCTAAAAATGAGGGTATCCATGCCAGATCTTTAACAAAGTAGAGAGGCGTGATACACATGGTGGGTAATTAACTGCAAATAATCTCGAATAGCTGGGAGTAAGATATACACCCAGATAGGAGATCCGATCTGCGGCTCAACGAAATGGGAAAGAGCTGCGGAGAGATTCCCCCAGGGAACCAGTAACATTAATAGGCATAACAACTGATTTGGTAAAATTTACAGTGAGGCCCGATATGGATGCAAGCTCATTCAATAATGTGCATAAATTCGGCAGTGATACTAATGGGTTAGTAAGGAAAATCATGATATCATCTGCATACAGACATAATTTAAACTGCGATACCAAGAGGGGATACCCCGAGATGTTCGGGTGTGTTCTAATAGCAATCGCCAAGGGTTCCAAAATTAGCGCAAATAGTAAAGGTGACAGTGGACATCTCTGACGGGTGCCCCTGCCCAGCGTAAAAATTGCAGCCTGGAAGTCTAATTCTTGTATGGGGGGAGGCATACAAAGCATGTACCCCGGACAGAAATTCGTCTTGGAAGCCCATATTCTGCAACAGTGAGAACATATAGGGCATTTTAATAAAGGCCTTGTCAAAGACCGTGTCCTGTCTTTTTTCTCACACTTTTTGTTTTTTGTGAATGAGTATCAGGACCATGTACCCCATACTCAGTCACATGGGGGGGGCTGGTATGGGGGGGGGCCCCTTGTTAAAGGGGACTTCCAGATTCCGATAACTCCCCTGCCTGAAGACCCTCACAATCACCAGGTTGTGGAGGAGCCCCCCCTGCCCCAAAGCACCCCCCAGTTTGAGGGCATACGGCCTGGTATGGTTCAGGTGGGGGGGGGGGCGCTCGCTCGTCCTCCCCTCCTTTCCTGACCTGCCGGGCTGCATGCTTGGATAAGGGAGTTCCCCTCAAAATCCATACCCGACTGAAAGGGCTTGGTATGGATGGGAGGGGGGACCCAACGCTGTTTTTTAACTTATTATAGTGCTGGTTTTTAAATGTAACTAGCGCTTTTTTTTTCCTTCACTATAGCTCAGAAATTCAGCTGTCACTTTCCCCCCAGCTAAAAGAGAGAAAGTTTTCTTTTAATTTATTTCCCAAGTTAAAAGAAACAAAGTTTCCTTTAACTCCGGGGAAAGTGACAGCTAATCCTGTGAGCTGTAGTAAAGAAAAAAAAAAAAGACGGCAATAACATTTAAAAATCAGCACCGACATACACTTCGTATCGCAAAAAAAAAAATTTGTAAAAAAATTTGTAAACCGAGGCATTATTTTCAATGGATTTTCATTCGTAAAACTTTACGTTAACTGAGGCATTCGTAAACCGAGGTACCACTGTATATAAAACCCACGGATATTTACAGAAGACTTCAAGCACAGTACAGGGATGAGATGTTTGAATGCTGTAAATGTTTCAAAGATGGCCGTAAGTCCATCAGTGACGATCCCGACCATGGTGGCTTCCAGCCCACAGCAGTCTTTCCTATGAACATTCAGCCCATGGAACGCCTGATCCTGGATAAACAACGCATAACCGGTCGTGAATTTACATGGCTTGGATTGATCATTAAGGGTGTCCTGTTTCTCCAGGACAATGCACAAGTTCATACTGCTCACCGCACTACATGTGCACACTACAGCAACTTGGCTGGGAGGTATTGCCACATCCCCCTTACAGCCCAGGCCTCGCTCCGGAGTGATTTTCAACTGTCTGGACCCAGAGTTCCTCGGAGGTCAGCATTTCAGCACTGATGACAAAGCAGGCTGTCCTAGGATGGTTCAGGCGTACTGATAAATCTTTCTATACCGAAGCTCTGTTGGTAATGACAGCTTCAAGATGCCTCCTGTATGAAGAAAGTAGTTGCTCAGGTATAATTTTGACCCATTCTTCCACACAAACAGTGTTCAAATCTTGAAGGTTCCGTGGGCCTCTTCTATGAACTCTGATCTTTAGCTCTTTCCATAGATTTTCTATTGCATTCAAGTCAGCTGACTGGCTAGACCATTCTAGCAGCTTTGTTTTCTTTCTTTGAAACCAATTGAGAGTTTCCTTGGCTTTGTATTTGGGATCATTGTCTTCCTGAAATGTCCATCCTCCTTTCATCTTCATCATCCTGGTAGATAGATTTTTATCAAAAATGTCTTGGTACATTTTTCCATTCAACCTTCCTTCAATGATAAGAAGTTTGCCAGTACTGTATGCTGAAAAACAGCCCCACACCTTGATGTTCCCACCTCAAACTTCACTGTTGCTATGGTGTTTGTGGGGTGGTGTGCAGTGCCATTTGACCCCCAAACATGGAGTGTATTGTGGCATCCAAGGAGATCAATTTTCGTCTCATCTGACCAGACTATATCCTCCCAGTATTTCACAGGCTTGACTAAATGTTGTGCAGCAAACTTTAACCACTTGCCTACCAGGCACTTATACCCCCTTATTTACCAGGCCAATTTTCAGCTTTCAGCGCTGCCGCACTTTGATTGACAATTGCGCGGTCATGCAACATTGTACCCATATTACATTTTGATCATTTTTTTCTCACAAATAGAGCTTTCTTTTGGTGGTATTTAATCGCCACTGGGCACTTTACTTTTTGCGCTATAAATAAAAAAGTTGCAAAAAATTTGAAAAAAAAAAAAAGTTTCTTTGTTTCTATTATAAAATTTTTCAAACAGGTAATTTTTCTCCTTCACTGATGTGCGTTGATGATGAGGCAGCACTGATGGGCACTGATAGGCGGCACTGATGGGCACTGATAGGCAGCACTAAAGGGCACTGATAGGCAGTACTAATGAGGTGGCACGGATAGGCGGCACTGATAGACAGCACTAATGAGGTGTCACGGATAGGCGGCACTAATATGCAGCACTGATAGGCGGCACTGATAGGTGACACTGATGATGGGTACTGATAGACGGCACTGACTGGCATCACTGCTGGGCACTGACTGGCGGCACTGACTGGCACAACCACTGGGCACTGACTGGTGGCACTGACTGGCAGCACTGCTGGGCTGCACTGGTGGGTGGCACTGGTGGGCAGCACTAGTGGGTGGGCACAGGTGGGTGGCACAGGTGGGTGGCACTGGTGGGCACAGGTGGGTGGCACTGGTGGGCACAGGTGGGTGGCACTGCTGGGCACAGGTAGGTGGCACTTCTGGGCACAGGTGTGACACTGCAGAGTGGCACAGGTGGATGCACTGCTGGGCACAGGTGGGTGCACTGCTGGGCACAGGTGGGTGATCTGCTGGGCACAGGTGGGCGGAGTTAGTGGGCGCACTGCTGGGCACAGGTGGGCGGAACTTGCGGGTGGCACTGCTGGGCACCGATCATCAGGGCACTGATCCTCGCTCTGACAACTGCCGGTTCTCGGCAGTACTTTCCTCACGATCTGACAGCGTGAGTAAAGTGCAGCCGAGAACCGGCACTTGCATTTCCCTCTGATCAGTGTGTCATTGGACACCGCTGATCAGGTGGTAAAAGGCCGCTGTGATTGGCCTTTTACCACATCACGTGATCAGCTGTGTCCGTAGGACACAGCGATCACGGAGATCGCCGGGTCACCCAGAACTGGCCGGCCGCAGTGCAGCCGTCATTCGGCTATCTGCGGTCGGCTACTAGTTAAACAAGCTTTAACAGTCTTGAGTGGTGAGCGTGCATATAGGCCATGGCGGTTGAGTGCATTATTTATTGTTTTCTATGAAACAATTGCACCTGCTAATTTTAGGTCTTTCTGAAGCTATCCACAAGTGGTCCTTGGCTCTTAGACAACTCTTATGACAATTCTTTTCACTGCTCTGGCATAAATCTTGCGAGGAGCACCTGGTCATGGCTGGTTTATGGTGAAATGATCTTATTTCCACTTCTGAATGTTCCAGTGAGCACTGTTGGGGTCATAATCCAGAAGTTTAGAAATCCTTCTATAACCAATGCCATCAGTATGTTTTGCAACAATAAAGTTGCGAAGGTCTTGAGCTTTTATCCATCATGAGATGCAACACCTTGGTAATGAGACACCTTTTTACAGGCCATCAGTTGAGACTGAACCAGCTGTTATTAAGTTGCACTGGCAAGGGGCAGGAATGCTTTCTAATTACTAATAGATTTCAGCTGGTGTCATGGCCTTGCATGCATTTTTGCATGTGTTCAATACTTTCTCCCTGCGTCATTCCATTTTATTACACATAACTTAATTTGTGAACTTCTTTGTTTTGGTTTCTTTGTATATGTGGATTGCATGGGTTGTTACCAACATGTGGTGAAAATTGCATGTCAATAGCATCTTCAGAAATATATTTGCTTAGGAAAATGGTGACGTTTTCAATACTTATTTTACTTGCTGTGTGTGTGTGTGTGTGTATATATATATATATATATATATATATATATAGTTATATTGCTGTATACACATACACACCAACTTTGTTTTTTACAAATAAACGATTGACAAAAGATTCACATGACGCTATGGGTTAGCTAAAGAGACAGCACAGCAGACAAAGCTTACTGTGTAGCTCTGTCAGGCTCACCTGCTTCAATGTGTTGCTTCCTCACCAGCCAGTGGAGCAAAGTGCTACTACATCATTGATGTAAAAGTTGCACAATCCAAATCACCAGCAATGGAGGGATGTCCTGCTCATTTAGCCAGTGAGGGAGGAAACTATGAAAACAGGCAAGCGTTTCTGTAGATTGTTTAGCCCTGTATAGCGATCCTGTTACAAGCTGTCAGAATCCCTATTGTGACACAAGCCATTTGATAAGCGATGACTTAACAGTGTTCTTTTAGCACAGCTGAGAGTGACTGGATGCTTCAGATGTGAAAAGCAGACTAGAGCTCCACCTGCTGGCCCTATAGAAAACTACACAACGGTAATGCAATTTCAAATTTACCTAATTATATTTACCTACTTTTTAACCATTTTAGACCTGACCAAAATCTAAAATATTTTTAAAAAATTTCACCTTGAATTGCTATTTTAATACCCAGAGAACAATCCCACAAACCAAGATTCCTTACATTCAACATTTTCTGGGAACTTGCGGTGAATATCCTTGTATTTTTCAAGTGACTTTTGATAGTTTCCTGGATAAATAAGAAAGCAAACAGAACAACTCAATAAAATGGTTAAACATTTTGAGGCACTTAAAAAAATAAAACCTGGCTTATACTTAAAGGATAAGTTCATCTTTAAAAAAAAAAAAATGCACATCAGCAGATCATGGGTGTTGTACAGGACTCCTGCAGACTTGTCAGTGTATCTGTCTGCTCGTAAATTGTACGGGCAGACAGATACACACTGACAGGAAGACAGTGAACTACTAGAGCGCTCAGCAGCACCATAGTAGTTCATTAAGAACTACGAGCCAACAGTCTTTGAGGTACTTGTAGCTGCCCATTCACAGAATGAATGACGCGGCTAGGCAGGTGGAGTCCCGCACGGCCACGTTTTTTTAAAAATAGTGACAGTGAGCGTGGGGAGAAGATCCCCCACTTGCTGTCATTAGATTCAGTGGTGTGGGCAGCAGCTGCAGGAGTGGGAACATGTTACATGTTCCACCCAAAAAATGGGTGCAGCATGTAACATGTTTCCAAAGGTGAACTTATCCTTTAATCCCAATATCTTTGTGCATTACTAAATTACTGGTTAGCATGATTTGGGCAGGTTAGTGTTCTGCTTTTTAAATAACAAAATATTGGGAGGTACAGTAAATGTGTAGACCCTGCTAAATATTGTCTCCTATGCTTGAATAATCAACTGTCTGCTTTATAATGTACATTCTAATAACTCAGGAAAAGAATAAATTAGAATAAATGTTATAGTTACCACTCCTCCTGTAACAGCTTGCCACCATCAACTGCCATTTTACTTGTGTAGGTCTGTAAAAACAGCAGAAACATGGGTAAGTACTGCATTCATTTTACAACAATCCTTTCTTGACAAGAGGTCAATAATTTCAGAGGTCCATGCAATCAAAAAATAAATATTTATTTTGCTGTTTTCATTCGTATTTATTTATTTCTAATTAATTTTAACCTGGTTACAAAACTTCCTGTGCTAGGGTGACAACACCCTCTTGCTGTAGTGAAGCAGCAGTTTTTTCCCTAAAACAAGATTATAAAATACCACCCTAATATTATGAGTTCACAAGATTTCTAGCAGTGTAAACCTATATCTTTTGCACATTAGGGTCTATAACTCTATGAGGTCAATTTACTAAAGGCAAATAGACTGCACTTTTTAAGACCGCTTCTAGGCTGCTTCAGAGCTTAGTACATTGATGGGAAGCTCTCCTGTCTTCCATCATTCAATCATGTGCAAGCAAAAATGCTGTTCTTTGATTTTCCTTGGATGTAATTGGGTATTATTTGCAAAGGGAAGCTTTACCTCATTTACTAATCTCTGGAGCAAATCTCCTTTCAGAGTGCAACTGCGACTGCAATGTGCACATTCTATATGCCTTTAGTAAACCGGCCCCTATGAATAGCTTGCTTACATTATATCATTTTACCTGTTTTTTAGGGACATAAAAGGGTTTTATTAGGTACACTGTTTTAATCAATTGTCAAATTTGTATTTTGAACTGACAAATGGACAACAATTTCAGAAAAATGCAATTTATGCCTATAGCTTTTTTTATTTTATTTTTTAAATTAATGTAATTTTCATAATTAATTTAGCACTAGATGCAGACTACCACCTGCTTCTGTCAAAGTTCTTCCTTTGTGTGGGACACACATTGACAGATGAGCCATTTGGCATCACTTTGTTTGTAAACAAAGCCATGTTTGACTGCCATAGTGATCACATGATCTGGGACTAAGCTAATTGGTTCCTGAGTGTTGTCAGGCAGGTATAAGATACTAAACGGTCACAAAGCAGCTGGCAGTTTAGCAGAGGGACATTTATAAACAGCAGAAATGGGTAAAGCTGAATTATAATGCTTATTTGGAATAAATGGGTGAGCTGCATTTACTGCCAAAGGATATGCTCATTTCTTTAACCTGTCCTGACATTTACAGTCCCGCCAAAAAAGCCAAATGACTCGACTTTCCTCTACCTAGCCCTTAAACGTGACTGGACAGAGAAAAATCAGCAGCAGGCAACTGTCAATGCATGTGGATGCAACACTCTTCCCTCTCACTGCTGCACAGAGGTTACAAGAGGCTGACATCACAACAGATTCAGTTACTTTACTAGGCCCATTAAAACAATACAATAAAGCTGAATTCTGTGATTTATTTGTATTGCATACCTACATTGGATCAGCTTGCCACAACATAAGTATGCATATCTCATACCTAATGGTCCTCTGGGGAAGCTGGAAATCACTGTAGGAGTTGGCACTACTACAGTGATAGCTGCGACCCTCTGGATCCTGCTCAGGTTCTATGAGAGCATTCCCCACTGCACACACACTGTCCAAAGGGAGTCATCTATAAAAATATTTCTATTTTTTTTCAAGACAATGCAATAAAAAGCTGGACCAATAAAAGTATGCAATATAAATCGTTCTTGGAGTTCAGCTTTAAATTAAATATTCACAACCTCACTAACACCCCCTTCCCTCTCTCTGACCACAACCTGATTACCTTCTCTATCTCCTCGTCCTCGAATGCCTACCCCTCCAAATGTCACACTACTACCAGCCGTAACCTCCGCAACCTTAACCCTGCCCCCTTCCACTCTGCAGCTGATCAACTCTATGACAGCATCCTTCCCCTGTCCTGCCCCGACTTGGCTATGACTGCCTATAACAACAAGCTGTCAACAGCCCTTGACTCACTAGCGCCTTTAACCACACGCAACATCAGACCCCGACCGCTCCAGCCCTGGCAGACTGATCACACCAAATCCCTCAAACAACACAGTCGTGCCCTGGAGCGACTATGGCGCAAAACCAAATCCCAACAAGCCTTCACCCACTACAAATCTGCCTTCCACACCTACAACTCCACGCAGCCAAACAAGCCTACTTCCTGACCCTCATCAAGGCCCTCTCCTCCAATCCTCGCCGACTCTTCTCCACCTTCAACTCTCTACTCTCTCCACCCCCACCTCCACCCAGCACCTCACTCACCGCCCTTGAGATTGCCAATCACTTCAAAAACAAGATTGACACAATTCGCAATAACATCGCCGCAACTCACACTCCCTCTCAACCCGTCCCCTCTCACACAGCTACCCCCTCATCCCCCCTCTCCCTCGACATAACCCACAGGGACTTCGTCACTGCTCAAACTCCCTCCAACCCCGTTTCCCCTCACTCAGCTACCCCCTCATCCCCCCTCTCTCATGACCCCACCACTGCTCTGACCTCGACTTCCACCCCACCCCACATTCCTCATACTGAAGCCCCATCAACACTCCGCACCTTTGACCTTACTACCATTGAAGAAGTCTCCAAGGTCCCCTCTGATGCCCGCCTCACCACCTGCCCCCTCGACCCTATCCCCTCACAACTTCCTTCCTCCTCCATCCTATGCTCCCTCACCCACATCTTTAATCTCTCCCTCTCCTCTGGCACTTTCCCCTCCCCTCTGAACCATGCACACATCACCCCCATACTTAAAAAGCCCTCCCTGGACCCAAATGACCCGAACAACCTCAGACCCATCTCCCTGCTCCCATTCACATCCAAACTCCTCGAGCGCCTATTCTACACCGGCCTAAGCTCTCACCTCAACGGCAACAACCTCCTCGATCCCCTACAATCCGGCTTCCGTCGACTACATTCCACCGTAACTGCCTTACTCAAACTCTCCAATGACCTGCTAACCGCCAAAGCTAATGGCCACTATTCAGTGCTCCTACTTCTTGACCTCTCCGCAGCCTTCGACACAGTCGACCACCCCCTCCTCCTCAAAAAACTACACTCCCTCGGCCTCAGAAATTCTGCTCTCTCCTGGCTCTCATTCTACCTGTCACAACGCTCTTTCAGCGTTACCTATAATGCTACCACCTCCCCCTCACTCCCCCTCTCTGTTGGGGTCCCTCAAGGCTCCATCCTCGGGCCCCTTCTCTTTTCCATCTACACCTCCTCCCTTGGCCAACTCATACACTCTCACGGCTTCAACTACCATCTATATGCCGACGACACACAAATCTCTCTCTCAGCCCCCCACCTCACCCCCTCAGTCTCCGCCCGAATCACACACCTACTGAGCGACATATCAGACTGGATGTCGCTCCACTTCCTTAAACAACCTCTCCAAAACAGAGTTTCTTTTCTTCCCCCCAGCCTGCACACCACCCCCCATTGACTTCTCCATCATGTCCAACAATTCCACCATCAAACCCGCCCCGCAGGCCAGAGTACTTGGTGTCATTCTGGACTCCAACCTATCCTTCCAGCCCCAAGCCCAATCTTTAACAAACATCATGCAGACTCCACCTCCGCAAGATCGCCAAAATACGCACGTTCCTAACCCCAGAAACCACTAAACAGCTCATCCACTCCCTCATCATATCACGACTCGACTACTGCAACTCCCTCCTCACTGGCCTGACTCACCGCTGGCTATCCCCGCTTCAGTCGATCCTGAATACGGCTGCCAGACTCATTCACCTTTCCAACCGCTCCGTTTATGCCACCCCCCTCTGCCAATCCCTCCACTGGCTTCCGATTGCGCAACGGATCAAATTCAAAATCCTAAAACTGACGCACAAAGCTGTCTACCATACTGCCCCGAACTACATCACCAACCTAATATCCAAGTACCACCCAACACGCACACTCCGCTCCTCACAAGACCTCCTTCTCTCTAGTTCCCTGGTCTCCTCCTCCCATGCCCGCCTCCAGGACTTCTCCAGGCTGTCACCCATCCTCTGGAACTCCCTGCCCCAACCCATCAGATTATCACCTACTCTCCTCTCCTTTAGGCGCACCCTGAAAACCCACCTCTTCAGGGAAGCCTACCCCACCCCCTGCTAACTTGCCGACCTCCTTCACTCTTCCTACCACTCCATCCCCCACAGCTTTCTCCTCCTGTGCCACCATCCCCTCCCTCCTAGATTGTAAGCTCGAAAGAGCAGGGCCCTCGAACCCCTCATGTTTTGCATTGTATTGTATTGTATTGTTATTGTTCTGTCCCCCATTGTAATGTACAGTGCTGAGAGAACTATTGGCGCTTTATAAATACTGTATAATAATAATAATATTCTATTTTGCCTGCAGTTCAGCTTTTGTCGATCCGGTCTACTGGCTCTTCAGTCTGGCAATAGATTTCTTCATGAATTAAGTAACAATACAATAATGAGCTTAATTTCTGTTTGTTGTCTGTCTATTTAATATAGGGTCTCCAGTGTCAATTGTAGTTCAATGTAGAAAACATGGCTTTCAGCAATGTCTGAAACACTTTTATTGGGCATAATAGATATTTCAACCTGGACAGGTATAATGGGAGATGCTAAGTATAACTAATATTTATAAACTATATTCTTTCTCCTTGAGCAATGTAGACAACACAAAAAAATTCTATGATTTAGCTTATCTAAGTTTGTTATAAAATACTGACTTTGCAGAGACCTGTGTATAATTTATCTTTGCTGAAATATGTCACAGGGCAGCCTCAAGCTTTGACAACAGTGACTCTGTGCACGTCATGTTCTTCCCCAGTGAAGGTTACTCACATTACACGGCACAATAGAGCTGATTCAGTCTAATTCAATGACCTGATTCAAAACCTTACAAAAATGTCAGTCACGCACATTTTGTTTATTTTTGTATACTGTATACAAAAATAATCATAGTGTAAGGCTAAATTCACACTACATTCCTGCGTTTGGTTTATTTGTACGCAGTAGAACTAATCGGGGAAGTATAAACATGTGGTCCAAATCAAGTTCTCCTGCATTTAAATGTAATTGCGTTTACATG